GGCTCAAAGAAGGTATACAGCCCTCATTATTATAGCCTGTCTAGTGGGTATCTTCTGGATACACTTTAAATATACTATATAACTCACTCATTTGAGTAAATTATGTCCAGTAAGATTTACACATGACCGATCACTCTGATCCCATGATGACACATGATCCATTAAAAGTTATATAAATTACTTAAAATTTAATATATCGTATGCTACTTTTCCCTCCATCTCCTATTTATAATACTATACACGTTATTTGGATATATGGACTAGCCCAACGTACCAGCCATCTAAATTGACAAATTGAATTGATACTGCCAATGGGAATGGCTGGACAAATTTCGATTACCGAAATACTAATCTCCATTTAGTAAGAATAAGAACTGACGAATTTATCTGCATTATAAAAAGCCTCAATATTTGATTATGTATATCAGAGGCATTTATTACTTAGTATTTATGTAGACACACTGGTATATGAGTATCTGGCAATTTATTTACGATCACCAAGCCATTTGATAATACCCGCACATGGGAATTTTGGGTATAAGCTCAGCTATTACTATTTTCACATGACTGCTAAGAACAGTATAGCGGGGGTTAATTCCGCCCGTAAATCGAGAATGAGGCTTGATAATGAAATGATCATTACCCTAATAGGAAGTACAGTTAACCTGACCACCCATATTTATATAATCCTTATGATATCCTGGGATAGGTATTAGGTCCCCATGGCTGAGCGAGGGTTAAAATCCCTTATTTCCACTTTTTAGAGGTTTTTCGCTCAAAGCCTCTCTACCCATTCTCATGATCCCACAGGCGTCCAGATAACCCATGATGAACCGTCTACTTCTCAAACAATGCCTTGTGATAGCAATACACTGACTTTACATGATATAAATTTCTTGACGAATCATTCGTCTCTGACTATAAAATTTACACAGATATATTCACCTTCGTCCTTTCCCTATTCTATGAAGCAAGTCACTCCATCCAATGAGTACATACAGGGTTAAATATAAACCACACAATGTAGAGGTGGACTTAACCCTGTTTGGAGTTTTTTTTTTTTTTTTTTTTTTTTTTTTTTATTTAAACAGCGAATTAGCATATTCTGACGTCATTTTGGCGCCAACTGACGGTCCACACAGGAACCCTGATTGGTGGAATCCTCTCAACAGTTACAATACCAGGGGTATTTAAACAAGGTCTAGGGTCCATAACAAATTCAGCCCCTGACGAAGGTGCATCACAGCACCGAAACGCGCGTCGGGTTGAAGGAGGTTTTTCTCCTTCACTTTCACTCACTTTTTATTTTCACTTCTAGGGCACTATTTCACGATGTGTAGGTAACCAGCATTCTAAGCATGGTTCTACACATTAGCACTATTATTTCCTAATTTTTCACCTTTTCCTCCTGTCACTCCTGATATGCTATCTAGATTGGAATTATCTATTTGATTGAGGAATCTGGACTGGCTCTGTATGTATTTGAGGGGGCAACAGATACTCTTTGTACCCCATAGCGATTTAGGAAACCACTAACTTAAGATTTATCATTTATGACATATTTTGTGATTAATCTACGAATTTTCATGTAGACTTTTTTCCTTTTATTATATGTTACTTGGTATCCAGCTAAATGCTGTTATCCTAAATTGCTGATTGCTTAACTACACTCTTATTGTAGCTTTTCTGATACAGCGTGCTTTGCTACAAGTGTTACTTTATATACAGCCAATATTCAAAGTTCCTCCTTGACTGATTGTCTTTTCCATCTAGATTACAGGAGTTAATTTAAAGGCTCATTCCACAACCGCTTTTACTGTTGACATGGACATACTATGGTTGATTATATTAAAGTCCTGAGTCTCAAATAGATTCTTTACGTCTAAGAGTCCTTTAGACAGGAGAAGAGCCATTTAGGCTATTTTAATCACTTGAATCTACGTATGAACCCTCTCTATATTCCGACATATTGATGGCAATTTTGATTTAATTATCTATTATCTACTAATATTTTGTCCAGCTGACAGTCCTGGTTCTGGTTTTAGTGACCAGTAACAGGAAAGTCATTTTCTAGTGCTTGGGAGGGTTCACCTGAATCCCCTCGTTCGGTTGATTATGCCTACCGAACGAGGGGCCGTTCGGTAGTTTGGAACCGAACGGACCGGGCTGATGGAGGTCTCAGCGGTGTTCGCCTAATCGAGTGTCCGTTTTGAGTTCCAGACACTCGACGGCAAAACACCGCTGTTCGGGAGGTTAAGATGGCCGCCGCCACGTATTCGTTTCTCGAATGGCGGCCACCCCTGAGAACAAAGGATTGCTACACAGCTTGTCAATTACCCGTTCGCATCAATGTTGCAACGGGTAATTGAAGGCACACTTCACACAGGGGAGGTCTGACTGTTCGGTAGTTTCATTCGAACAAACTAAGGGAATGAAACTACCTTACATTAAGACGAATCCAATACATTTTACACATAGAACTTAGCTATTTTGCATGAATACATTCCCTTACTTCATAGACATTTAGCAATTAAACGAATACCGGTTACACATAATACAAGTCCCAGGGCAGCTCATGGCCATCCGCTACAATACCTATCTGGGTTATATGAGTTCATTCAATAAATCCGAGAATCTACCGAACACCGAGCAGAAAAGCACGAATAAGTATTTTCTGCAGTGAAAAAGATGTCTTTTAACATGGGGCCATAGTCCAAAGGCAGCAGGCGAGCAACCAGGCTTCTCCAATGCAATGTGGCGAGATTGCTCTCGTCACATCTCTCCCCTTTTCCAAACAAACTAACAGGGTATCTGACCTCCTGCCGGTCAGTGCCCTTGTTAGTCCAGCAGTCCACCCACAAAACACAATCAACAGCACAGCCCACCCACAATAAATGGTTACTACACCTGGATAGAGGAGAAGCTTGTCCACGCCCAGGATACCTTACCACGGCCGTGCTGGGTACGGGTATGCTGACTTGGTGGGTTGCTGCGTGGGCCAGCACTAGCGCTACTGGGAAGGTAGCCTGGTTGAAGCCTGGTTGTTGGAGGGGGAGACCGACTGTCTCCCCTTTAGATACATAGCCCTGCTGCTGGAGACCGACTGTCTCCCCTTTAGAAACACAGCTCTGCTGCTGGAGACCGACTGTCTCCCCTTTAGACACACAGCTCTGCTGCTAGAGACCAACTGTCTCCCCTTTGGCTAAACAGCCCTATCGCTGGGGGGCAGAACCGACCGTCCCTACCCCCCGTGCTGTACGTGCAGAGACCACAGCCCCATCTGCACAGTTGTGGGGCTTACTGTCTCCCCCTGGTACATTTAGCTGCCGCTGGGGAGAGGGGGTAACAAGCTCCTCTCCCATACATACTTCCAGCCACGGGGGAGGGAGACTGACTGTCTTTGCTCCCAATCCAGAGTCCTACTGCTGAGGAAAGGAGACTGGGCTCTCTATTCCCAGTAGGACACTCTGCCGCTGGGGAATGGAGACCGGGCTCCCAATTCCCTGCAATATCTCCTGCTGGGGAATGGAGACCGGGCTCCCAATTCCCT